CCCTGGTCACGGACCCGCCGCCAGCCATGGCCAGTCCGGGCCGGCGCTCCGCCCACAGTGGTCAGCGCTCCAGCGAGCTGCACTACTCCTACTCCTACTCCTACTCCTACTCCTACTCCGACTCCTACTCCTACTCCTACTCCTACTCCTACTCCTACTCCTACTCCTACTCCTACTCCTACTCCTACTCCTACTCCACCTCCTACTCCACCTCCTACTCCTACTCCTACTCCTACTCCTACTCCTACTCCTACTCCTACTCCTACTCCTACTCCTACTCCTACTCCTACTCCTACACTCCTACTCCTACTCCTACTCCTACTCCTACTCCTACTCCTACTCCTACTCCTACTCCGACTCCTACTCCTACTCCTACTCCTACTCCTACCCCTACTCCTACTCCTACTCCTACTCCTACTCCTACTCCTACTCCTACTCCTACTACTACTACTACTACTACTACTACTATACTACTATACTACTATACTACTATACTACTATACTACTATACTACTATACTACTACACTACTATATTACTATACTACTATACTACTATACTACTATACTACTATACTACTATACTAGTATACTACTCTACTACTATACTACTATACTACTCCTAATACTTACTAATACTCTACCACGACTCTATCTATCTACTTAACTACTACTGACTATACATACTTTACTACTATACTCTACTACTCTTAGTACTACACTACTATTGACGTATCTATACTGACTACTGACTTCTTACTACTGACTACTGAAACTACTACTACTACTACTACTACTTACTATACTATCTACTCACTAATTACTACTATACTACTACTACTACTACTTACTACTACTACTACTACTACCTACTACTACTACTACTACTACTACTACTACTACTACTACTACTACTACTACTACTACTACTACTACTACTACTACTACTACTACTACTACTACTACTACTACTACTACTACTACTACTACTATACTACTACTACTACTACTACTACTACTACTACTACTACTACTACTACTACTACTACTACTACTACTACTACTACTACTACTACTACTACTACTTTTTTGGGGGCAAGGCGACAGAGATGCACCACTGGAATTCCTAAAACACTTCGGTCAGGAATCCAACTCCTATCGAGCACAACCCTGAGCTGCCGGATGTTATATATCTGACTCTGAGCACCGTGCACTAACACGAAAACTTAAAGTCCGACAATCTGCTGGGGCGGGCCGCAAGCCACAAGAGCAGGCTTCAAAACGCGGATGCCGCCACACACCTAAAGCCGAGTTCAAAGAAAAGTAACGAATTTCCCCCCAGCACCAGGAGGAGGAAGCAGGAGGAGGGCGAACGGGAGGACGAGGAGGAGAGGAGGGGAACACTGGCCCGCGCGCATAAAACGACACTGAGAGTGCCCAGCGTGGACTCGTCGTCCGAACGGCTGGCACGTCCGGCGCCGACATAGTGACACCACGATGCCCAGGGGGGGGAGGAGGGAGGGAGGAGGAGGAGGAGGAGGAAACAGGGGAGGAGGAAGACTGCACAAACGGAGCCAACACTCAGCGCAGGTTTCCGCCACTGCTTTGGAGGGCGGTTTCTAAGCAAAATCTCACGAACGCGGAGCGATACGAAATACCCCAACATCGTATCGGTGAGACCGGGTGGAGAACAGGGGGCAGGAGGAGGCCGCAGAAAGGAAGGAGAGGGGAGAGGGAGAGGGAACCTCGCAAGAGGGGGAGGGAGGGAAGGAGCGAGCTAACTATTTGGGCCACCGCGGCGCCCAAGGGGTGGAGTCGACGCTATACGAGCCAGCACGTGCCCCGATCCCCATGGCGCCCCACGTCAACAAAAAAACCTCATGCAAAGCTGCTGCAATGAAGCGGGTGGCGGACGAGTAGAAGGACGGGGCGGAGGGGAGGCGGAAAAGGAAGGGGAAGTGCGCGCTCCTGTCGAGCGCCACCGGCCTTTCCGGCTTCAAATGCCCCGTCGGCCAGGCTGCCCTGCGCGGGCTCGGAAGCCTCGGACGCCCCTCCCCCCGCGGGGGGGCCACAAACCCGAGGAAGGCAAGGGGCCGCCCACGACGACAGCGACGACCACGACGACAACGACGGCACCGACGACGACGACGGCGACGACGACGACGACGACGACGACGACGAGGACGAGGACGCCGAGCGACGAGCGACGACGACGGCGACGAGGGAAGAGACGGAGGAAGGAAACAGCAAGGGGAGGAGGGGGGAAGGAAGGGGGGGAGAACAGCGGACCCCTGCCCCCCCCAGGCGTGGGGCCCCCAGGGGGAGCGGTGGGCGGGCAAATCCTGCCCCCCCCGACAGACGGAAGCAACGAAAATGTCACGAATTTCGGCTCTGCAAAGTCCGTGGCGCAACAAGTCGGCGCCTCGCTTGCTCGGGGGAAAAAGAGGGAGAGGAGGGAGGACGAAGGCAACGGAGGAAGAGAGGAGAGGAAAGGAGAGGGCATCACGCGCCGTAGCTGTCGAAGCAGTAGAGGAAGGGGACGATCACGCTCTTCTGGAGCCCCGCGGTGTCCGGAAGGCGCCGTCGAGCACCGCGGTCGAGTACCTGTGCCCCTTGGCCGCCTCCCGCAAGGATTGGCACATGCAGTCGAAGGAGGCCTCGGGTGCCACCTCGCTGTGTCGAATGCTGTTGACGGCGTTGTATACGGCGTAGATCAGTAGCCCTACCTTGCATAGCGTCTCCTCGTCTTTGATGTGGATGTTCGTGAGCATGAACGTGTGGAGGTTGCCAAAGATCGACGCGCCCAGGTTGAGCCGCCGCTGCAGCAGCCGAGCCGTCAACGGGCATCGGCAGTAATGCTCAATTGAGTCCTCGGCCCCGGGCGGACACCCGAGCAGGCAGCGATTGGTAGGGGCGTGGCGCTGTTGGAAGCGGCGGTGGGTTGTCCATCTATTCCACATTGTGCTGAACACCGCTGACTGTACGCGTGGCGCCACCACCGCCCTCAGCTCCTGAAGTTGCCGGAGGGCCCGGCGAGCCCCGTAGTGCGGCGTGCTCTGCAAGACGCTGGTGCCCGGCGGCTGTGGGAAGAGAGAGGCACCCCACAGGTGGCGGAGGTTGAATTTGTGCCGCACCCGCATCAGAGCGTGGGGGGCCTCGTTGTCCAAGATGCCCTGGTACGCAACTTTCTGGAAGTTTTTCCGGAACACGTCGTCGGCCATGGAATTCTGTAGTTTGCGCATCCCTCCTAAGACCCGGTGCACGTAGTCCTGCGCCTGTTCGAGGTTCAGCACGAATGCGCCCTAGAACCACTCGCGCCACTCCACGAGGACATGAGGACGCAACCCCAAGCCACGAGCCCTGGCGAGCTTGCCGGACAGCTCCCGAAGACGCCCTTGGCTGCAGGCCCGGTCGAAGCTGCCCACCCTGCATCTCGCCGAAAGGGCCAGCCATGCTAGGGGGTGGAAAGATTTCGCCATGCCAAACCGTTCTTTGAGCGTGAAAAGGTCCGCGTTGAGGAACCACCCCCCGGGCCCCTTAGCCATCTGTTGCAACGCCTGCGACTCCCGCGCCAGGGCTTCGTCCGGGAGGCGCTCCAGCTGCATGACGAAGGTCAGCACCGATGCGACGAAAGTGTTGTAGACGAGGGCGCTGCACTGCAGCCCCGCGCCAATATTGCACCAAACGCGGCAGCGTGAGACGTACTTCTCAAGCGGTTCCCTCCAACTCTCCTCCTCCTTGGCGGGCCCGATAATAAAGCCGAGGTATTTGCCCTTCAGGCAAACCTGCATCTGGCCCCGTGCGGGGACGTTTTGGGCAAGCTGCTGCTGGAATTCCGTCGTGTTCCCGCCGTCAAATGGGATGACGATGCACTTGCCGAGGTTGAGATCCAGACCAGAAAAGCGGGATAATTCATCGAACAAGCGAGCCAGCCGGGGCCCCTGCTCCGTGATGTTGTCGATCACCAAGGCGGTGTCGTCTGCGCAAGCAAAGCGCCGCACTCCGGGGCAAGATTCGCATATCATGTCGAGCAGCACTTCTGCGACGACTGCGTACAATAAGGGCGAAAGCGGGCGCCCTTGCCGGACCCCAGCTGCCAAGTTGAAGCCCTCGTACGTCCCCCCGCCGACCGCTATCCGACATGAGGCGTTGTTGTACAAGTGGCGGACCGTGTGCAGCGCGCTGGGAGGTAAACCTATATAGTCTAAAGTCTCGAACAGGAACTCCTGGGCAGTCGACGGGAAGGCCGCCTTGAAGTCCAGGAGGACGCAGGCCCCGTTGTCTTGAGTGAGTGCTGTGACCATCATGTCCGTCTCAAGCCCAATCCGCGAGGTGGCTTTCCCACTTGCTCCGGACCGCGTTCGCGATAATGCGGTTGTCACAGTTCACGATAGAAAGGGGACGCGTCCCCTCCGGGAGGAAGAAGGGAAGGTCGTTGTCCGTGGTGCCGGCTGCTTTTTTGGGCAGGCAGACCAGCGTGCTCAAGTTGAAGAAGTGGTCGCTTTCGTCGGACTCGTCGCGGTAGCCGTCAATCAAGAGGTCCTCGGCATCCTCGCGCTCGAGCGCCCATGCCGCCCTGGTGAGGATGTCCACGCCCAGCGGGCCCAGCTGTCTCCAAGCCTGGAATGGGATGCCGTCAGGTCCGGGCATGGTGTTCCCGCTGTGAGAAATCGCATGCGCCACGTCCTGGTGGCTGACTCTCCACTCCCAGCTGCGGGTCGGCAGGCGGATCCTGCGCCGGCTCTGTGCGCCAGCTGGAGGTCTGGGCGGGCGGCCGCGCCACCCAGCCGTACCCGCGGGCGTGCACGGGTTGGGGCGTTGGGCAGGTGCCGAAAGGGGGGGCGTTGGAGAGGGGCGCGGGGGTGCTACTGATGATGGCGTTGCTGGGGCTGCCGGGCGTGGTGCGCGGGGTGGGCAGGGCGGCTGAATTGGTGTCGATTGGTGTTGCTGGTTGGTGATGCGCGGCAAAGAGCTGAGCCACTGCTGTAAAAGTTCACCGTCTATCGCTTTACTGCTGAATACTTTGCTCCAATGGCGCTGGAGAGACCGGGCGATCTCCTCCGGGGACGTGCACATGCCGTGTTCTGGGTCCTTCACGGCCTTGATTGCGTCACTGGCGCCAGGGACGAGTCGCTTGAGTTTCCGTAGAATGTGTTCTTTCCGAGCCTTCCGGCGCGGGTCATTCGGCTCAAGTTGGGCGGCCGCGAGGTCCCGCATCTCCTCCGTGAGCGATTGGCGAGCGAGATCAAGGGCATGGTCCTTCAGACGCTGAAAACCGTCCCGGCTGCGAGCCTCAGGGTCTTTTGGATCAACGTACTCTCGAATTTCAGGGTAGTCCGCCGCCCTCCGGCGCATCGTCCGGACATGGGTCTTCTCAGCGGCACGGATGAAGCTGAGGGTGCAGCTAAGCTGGTCCCCAATGCTCCTTGCCGGATTGGTCTCCTCCTCCCTCTGCGCGTTGCTGGAGACAGTGCTCATGGCCCGCTTGGCTAAGATGAGCCGTCGGATGTCGTTGGTCCGGGCGTCTTCCTTTTCGAGCTCCTCCAACTCTGCCGCGACCCGTTTTGCCCAGCGTGCATTCCGCAAGTGGTGCGGGTTGAGGTTCGGAGCGTCGCTCGGAAGCCCCTCGCGCTTGCGGCAGGAGAAGCTGAGGGGGCGATGGCCCGACAGACGCGTACGTTGAAGCGCAGTGCACGTCATGGACTTGTCGATCTGCTCCAGGACGTGGTGGTTGCTATAGATCCTGTCCAGGCGCGCGAGGTGCAGACCGCCGTGAAACGTGTGCAGGTCCTGCTCGAGCTCGTGCATCCTATGGGGATGTAGTGCCACTGCTTCGAACGCAAGTTTCTCCTCGTGGTCCCTCGCGCCCGTCCAAGCACCCGATGTTTTGCACCATCTGTCCTTTTCCTCCATAACGAGATTCCAATCCCCCATGTAAATGCTGAGAGTGCTCGTCTGGGATGTCGTGCTGAGGTGGAGGGTGTCGATGGTTGCCCTCCTGCTTGCTTGGTCTTCGACCCGATCTCCGCCAGTGGCGAGGTAGGCCACGAAGAGGTCGAGGTTGCCCAGCGGGCCGGTAAGTCGAAGCACCGCCAACCGGCCAGGTTCCAGCTCCTTCCAATGGTCGTGCTCCACAGGGTGGAAATTCTTCAAAAAATCTTGTTTCAAGATAAGTCCCACTCCCGCATGGCGCTCGGATAAATGCGACCAAAAGGCAACCGTCCCGGCGGGGAGGTGTCCTCCTCGAACCTTCCCGTCGGTGCCATGGGTCTCCGCGACGCCAGCGAAGTCGTGGGCGTCGAGGAGCCTCGTGAGCAGGCCGAACTTGGCGTTCTGCTTCGACGTACGGGCAGCCCAGAGCGCCTGCGCGTTCCAGAAGCATCCCCGGTAGTTGCCACTGTAAGGCATGCGTGCTGGTGCGAGCCAGGGTCCGTCAGCGCTGGCATGTGCGTCGCCTGGGGGTCGGGCAGAAGATGCGGGGGTGGTGGAGGGCTGCGTCGGGCTGCGTCGGGCTGCGTCGGAGGGGGGTCATGGGGTCGTCGTGGTGTCGTCTGGGGCTCACGGGGGCGTCATCGGGGGGTCGTCGAGGAGTCGTCGAGGGGTCGTCGAGGGGTCGGGAAATAGATGCGGGGGTGGCGGAGGGCTGCGTCGGGCTGCGTCGGGCTGCGTCGGGGCGCGTGTGGCCGCGTCGTCGGGATGTCATGGGGTCGTCGTGGGGTCGTCTGGGGTTCGTAGGGGGGCCGTCGTGGGGTCGTCGGGAAGGCGTCGAGGCGTCGACGGGGGGACGGGAGGTGGATGCGGGAGTGGCGGAGGGCTGCGTCGAGCTGCGTCGGGCTGCGTCGGGCCGCGTCGGGCCGCGTCGTCGGAGGGTCATGGGGCCGTCGTCGGGTTGTTTGGGGTTCTGAGGGGGGCCGTCGTGGGGTCGTCGGTAGGGCGTCGAACCGTCGTCGGGGGGACGGGAAGAAGATGCGGGAATGGCGGAGGGCTGCGTCGGGCTGCGTCGGGCTGCGTCGGGCCGCGTCGGGCCGCGTCGTCGGGGGGTCCTGGGGTCGTCGTGGGGGTGGTTGGAGCCCGTAGGGGGGCCATCGTGGGGTCGTCGAGGGGTCGTCGATGGATCGTCAGGGGGCGGGGCGGGATCGTCGCGGGGTCGTCGGGCTTCCAAATGCGGGCTCTGCGACCGGCCTCTCTTCCGTCCGCCCGGCGGCGCTGCCGGCGGCAGAGGAAGCGGACGGTTCTGCATGCGACGTCGTTTGTTGGAGAGCGCGGGGGTGGGCGCTGGAGGGTTGGGAAGGTGGCGGGGCGTAGGGCGTGAAGGTGGCGGGGCGGGCGCTGGAGGGTGTGAAGGTGGCGGGGCGGGCGCTGGAGGGTTGGGAAGGTGGCGGGGCGGGCGCTGGAGGGTTGGGAAGGTGGCGGGGCGTAGAATTGAAGGTTGGGATGGTGGCATGGGTCTGGGAAGGTGGCGTGAGAGGCGCGGGGAAGTGGAGGTCAGCAGCTTGAATTCGATAAGCAACAAATTCGGGCGCCACGAGCGCCGTGCAGCAGGGCCAAGAGATAGTCAATGATGTATGCCCAAACCGATGTGGTCTGAGCTGAGGTTGATGGCAGCAACGTGGTCCAGGATGCGGGCTCCGCGACCCTGGATGGTCGCGTGCATCGTTGTCAGCTCCTGGCGGTTGCGCAGCTGCACGACTATCTTCCCGGACCACCCGCCGTCGAAGGTCATGATCGGTCGCCAGCGGTGCCAGTCCAGCGCGTCCGCCTCCTGCGCCGGCTGGAGCTCGAGCTGGCAGGCGTCGCCGACGCACTTCATGAAGTGCGGCATCCAGAGGTTGCAAGGTCCAGAGGCCCCGAGCGGCAGCTCCAGCGTCACCCTCAGGGAGTCCGGGCGCGCCTCATCGGGCCCTTCCGCATGGAGGGCCATGTTCCGGGCCACCGCGATCTGGTTCTGGGTGGCTTGGACCTGCGCGATCGTCCCCGGCAGCGTGTCTGAGGGGCGGCGCATGAGCTTCTCCGCTGATGTGGCGGGATCCCGGCGCCACTCCTCTGTGAGCCTGGCGTTCCACTCCTCGGCCGTGCGGTGCGTCTCCACCAGGAGCAACTTGTTGGAGATGACCAGCGCGCTGGTGCACAAATCCCGGAGGCGGTACCCCGAGTGCGCGCTATTCGTCTCGACCAGCCTCGCGGTGGTACTGCTCATCGCCCCCACCTGCCCAACCACCGCCCAAAAGGGGTCCAGGACGCCGCAGAGCCAATGAATGATCGTCTCGGTCGCGAGGGTGTCCTTGACGCCCGTCTGGAAGTGAACCTGTGCCATCGCCCGGCGCGTGGAACGTGTAGACCCGGGGCTGCTGGCGGGGGGGTCAATGTGGAGAAGGTGGGGTAGGGTGAGCGAGGGGAGAAGTTTGCATACTTCCCATTTGTGCTGGTCTGGGAGGTCGATCCTGATAGTAGCACCCGCCTCGAATGTGAAGAAGCCGCCGCCTTTCCAATCGATCAGCCTCAGGCCGCACTGCGGGATTGGCATGCCGATCCGGACGATCGCCAGCTGCCTCTGGGCGTGGATGGGCGCGTGCTTCCCGGAGAAGATAACATTCCCAGGTGGGTAGAGCACCTGGATGTCCGAGACGGTCTGCCTCCATCTGCCCCTTAAGAGGGGGTGCGTCCACGCGTCTGTGATGTGTGCCGCGGTGCGGCAGCCGGGCAGCGGGTCGATCGGTATAGCGATGGACACGGCCTGGTCTAGAACCCCTGCCTCGGCGCACGCGTGGATAGCCCCGGCCAGCTTCAGGAGTTGTCCCTGGTCCACAGGGGTCCAGATGAGGATCGGCTTCGTCAGCCTCTGGAGCGCGGCCTTGATCGCGGGGGCGTCGCCAAGAAATGACGTCATCAACTCGCGCGCGCCCGCAGTAGGAACCAGATTCTGCGTGCAACTCTGGTCACGCCGAAGCGTGTTGCTCAGCTGTAGTGCGACCTGGGTGTTTGGTGGGAGGGCCCCACCCGTGCAGAGGTGCTCCAGGAGGTCGGCGCCGACTTCCTGCCGGCGGGGGAGTGATTTGGGGCCCCCTTTGAGCAGACGGCGTGCTCGTAGGTGAATCTCCAGGTTGTCCTTGGCGTCCTGTATCGCAAGCTTGAAGCTGTCCCGGAGGTCCTTCGTTTGGTCATTTAGGGCAACATTGGTGCCACCGAACCGGTCCATGAGCTTGATCGCCCACGCTCCGCGCATCTCAATGTCCTCCAAGCGTATGGCGGGCCCATCGCTGACGGCGAGACCCAACTTGTCTAGGCCTGCACTACCATTGAGGTCGTACGCGTAGGCGGAGAGCAATTGATGCAAGGGTTGGATGTCCGTCGCAGCCTCGAGTTCCCGAATGCTGGGGAGACGGGGGGTGCCGCCGACCGCGATTGTCGCCTGGATCCACTCCTTGTGCCGGCACACCCCGTCCTCCAGGATGTTTTGTAAGGTGGTGTCGAAGATCGTGCTGGCCGCTGCTGCGTTCGCCCCACCCTGGGGCGGCGCGTCGAGCCCGGCGGCAGCAGCGTCGGCCGCGGCGGCGGAGCCGGTATTGCCATGCCCAGGGGCGGGGGGGCCAGGCGGCAGGGGCACCGCCGCCATCGCAGGGGCGATCGGGCTGCTCATCTGGGGTGGGTCGGCGCCCTGCAGGCCGGGCGGGGCACCCGCCGGAGGCATGCCGAACGGTTGCCCGCATCCGCGGCAACGATCTCTGGAGTCCTCTGCAGGCACGTGGGTACCAAACAGAGGACAGGCGGCACGTGGGCAGATCCCCGTGAGCAGCGAGGCAGGTCCGCCCCCTCGGAGACGGAGCATCAAGTACAGCGTGGCGTACTTCTGGATGTTGTAATGCGTGAGCGTTCGACTGTCCTCCAGCTGCCTACGGCCATGAATAAGGCGCTGCTGGTCCGGCGGGATGTCCTCGCTGTCCTGGATCTTCACTTTCACGTCGTTGATCGTGCGGCTGGCCGCCACGTTGATCATGATGGTCT